CTGTTCTAGGCTCTAAACGACTCTTGTCTAACTTGTAGACTGATTCCTAACGTACAAGTTACAACTGTTCTAGGCTCTAAACGACTCTTGTCTAACTTGTAGACTGATTCCTAACGTACAAGTTACAGCTGTTCTAGGCTCTAAACGACTCTTGTCTAACTTGTAGACTGATTCCTAACGTACAAGTTACAGCTGTTCTAGGCTCTAAACAACTCTTGTCTAACGTGTAGACTGATTCTTAACGTACAAGTTACAACTGTTCTATGCTGTAAACAACTCTTGTATAACGTGTAGACTGATTCCTAACGTACAAGTTACAACTGTTTTAGGCTGTAAACAACATAGAAGCTAAACTTCCGTTTTCACACGACGGTCGACTGGGATTTCTGACCTTCTGTCCGACGAACCTGGGAACTACCATGAGGGCCAGCGTCCACATCAAGCTGCCTAAACTGTCCAAAGACCGAAAGACTCTGGAACAGGCTGCAGCCAAGTATAATCTTCAAGTCCGAGGTTTGTTTCCTTCGTTGTACAATAGGATATGTCAGTTTTCTTTATGTCAACATTAGTTAAAATCAGGCTAGTTCTAACTACTGAAGAACGAGGCCACGTGTGTTTAGTTTTAATAAAAAATAATACAGACGTGGCTACCTTATCTGAAACAAGGAATATATTTAAATAAATAAAACCGGTACGAACTAAGGAAATCCAAATAATTCCACAAGACCTGTTCAGAATTTGTCGCTGAATAATAAAATACATGATCGAATGGTCAAACTCTTCCATATCTCTGTTGTTCTCAGGTACCCGTGGGGAGCACACGGAGAGCGAAGGTGGTGTTCATGATATATCTAACAAGAGACGATTAGGCCTAACTGAGTACCAGGCCGTCAGGGAGATGCAGGACGGGATTCTCGAGTTGATTAAACTGGAGAGAGCAGCTGAATGATCACCGGCTTCTTTTTATTACTGTTGTTACTGCGTTTAGTGCTAAATTGTTTTAATGATATTGAAAGATTAAGTTAACCCTAACACTTACTATAATTAAGTTAACCCTAACACTTACTATAATTAAGTTAACCCTAACAATTACTATGATTAAGTTTCTAGGCTTCATTTATTATCTCAGTTTCAGAAGACTGGGCCGTATTAGATGGTACAAGGCTTTAAAATTTACTACGTCATTATAAACTACTGTGACGAATCTAGTCAACAGTATTTTCCAATATAATTGAGGACCATCTATAGAAGATGCTTACATTAATAATCAAATCTTTGTTATGCGTCTGTGGTTAACCAGACATGTCTGCCAATAAGTAAATAAAAATTGTGAAAACTATATAAATCACTCTGGTTTGATGTCCAACGGGCTAGCTAGTTATAAAAGTTTGAAATGAGGAAATGGCGTTGTTGTGAAACGGCAACGTTTCTGTTGATACCTTAACTCGACAGGTGCGACGGAATTATATTTTTAATTAGGTTTAAACTAATAATCCAAACAAAGTAGTAATATCTGATCCAAAAAATTTTACACGTAGAAAAACATCCAACCATATAAAAGATCTAACGTGAAATATTTTTTTTTTTTTTATTTACAACACGAATATAAAAATGTAAACCGTAACTCTTTCTTCATCATATCTCTTGCTCTTTGCACACGACCTTAATATTTGAAAGTACAATGTAAATTTGATGGCCGTTAAAACCTGGCGTTGCGATATATTATCAAACGAAAATATAAAGATTTAGGTTAACTTCAAATATCATTTGTAGATGGCAGCATCATCGCTTTTGAACCTTATATTTTTTTAAATCATTCTAAATTAACTGTAATTACGTTGTTCATCTGGTTTTCCATTTCCCTAAAGATGGCTTTATATGCAAAGTAAATACTTAACCTTCAAAAGAAAACAAATATTTTCTATTGATCCGAGAAAACTTCGTTTTGATCAACAACATAAATACCTTAATTCTACGTGTGTTGCTTTCTAGATAGTTTAAATTGAGTTTGTGGATACTCTTCGGTCACAGAGCTTTTATAGCTCTGGATACTCTTCGGTCACAGAGCTTTTATAGCTCTGGATACTCTTCGGTCACAGAGCTTTTATAGCTCTGGATACTCTTCGGTCACAGAGCTTTTATAGCTCTGGATACTCTTCGGTCACAGAGCTTTTATAGCTCTGGATACTCGTCGGTCACAGAGCTTTTATAGCTCTGGATACTCGTCGGTCACAGAGCTTTTACAGCTCTGGATACTCTTCGGTCACAGAGCTCTACTAGTTGTGGTTTATCTGTACCAAAAGCAAATTGTTGATAAACGGTTAAATTTGAGCTGGAATAACTTTTACATACATGATATTCAGCACATAAAAAAACCCTCTGGCTGTGATTACACTGTTTCTTTAAAATAAGATAATCATGAATTATGTACAAAGTGTTACTCGTTATAAACAAAGCTATAATTAATTGTGGTTTTTATTACTTTGTATATATATAAAAAAAAAAAAAAACCTATAATGTGGACAAGTGGGTTATCAGTTCGTGGTTGTTTTAATTACTTGAATAACCTATAATGTGAAGAAGTGGGTTATCAATTCGTGGTTGTTTTAATTAATTACTTGAAAAAAACCTGTAATGTGAAGAAGTGGGTTATCAATTCGTGGTTGTTTTAATTAATTACTTGAAAAAACCTGTAATGTGGACAAATGGGTTATCAATTCGTGGTTGTTTTAATTAATTACTTGAAAAAACCTGTAATGTGGACAAATGGGTTATCAATTCGTGGTTGTTTTAATTAATTACTTGAAAAAACCTGTAATGTGGACAAATGGGTTATCAATTCGTGGTTGTTTTAATTAATTACTTGGTACACAACAAGTTATGGAGTTCTCGTTTTCGGGTTTCTTCATAAAGGTTGCTCTATTTTTCAATCATTACGCAAAACGAAATGTCGATCATAAAACTATTGAACTGAAAAAATCTTAAAATTCACCGCATAGTGATTGTGAAGTTATTATTTCGGACATTAAACCGGTTTGCACCAGGTTTTCTTGTTAGGCCCATCTTGGTAGTTTACACTAACTTTAAACTTTTTCAATATGAGAGCTTCGTGTGTGTGCAAGAAATTAATTCCAATATAATGATTATCACCTTTTATTGTATGATAAATCGGGTAATACAGATAGAGAGAAAGTACTTTATAAACATAATACTTCATTTTCATGGCCGAACAGTTAACTGTGATTGATGTCTTTAAACTATGGCCTCACACCGACGACCTTTGTAACAGCCGGTTGATGTATAGTACGGACAGCAAACCCTGTAACGATGCTTACTGTTGATAGGGTTACACTGTTCATCATTTCTACATAGGTCCCGGACCTGGATGTATGGACAGACCACTTGTCTCCCACCATGCTGTTGAAACTGATTATTTGGACATCTTGATTCTGAGAAAAGAAACGAAAGACATAAAGTGTCAAATGGCATACTTGTTAATTCTGTAAAGTTAATGATATTAACATCAAGATAACTGCAGGTATCGATTATTTTAACAACGCTGACTTGTTAAAATTTAAAGATCGGTTATAACTTGTGTTGTTGTCAACGCTAAAACTAGGCATACTTAGCTCGAAGTAACATTGTGATATTGTGTCTATTCAAAATGAGTTTTGAGATTTTATTTTCGTTCAAAGTCTTGATAAGCAAAACTTCGAAGTAGTTTTCGTATCCTCGAGCTTATCATTGACATCTATTTTAGTGTTCTTGTTGTTGTTTCAGATCCACGTCTTTTTTTTATGCTTTTAATCGAATTTTTAATGGACCCACTTACTAAAGTACTTGAGAATATTGGGGAGTATTGTAATACTAAATCCCTCCACAGATTATCATGTGAAATGGGTGCAAGCTGGCCCTCCGATAGAACTTTGATTCTTGAACTGGCGAGTTGGGTTCGAATCTGTGTCATACCGCAAACTGTTCCCCGAATTTAAAATTTCGGATGCGTTATAAGAGTGAGAGTCTATTTTATATCGTAGGTAGTATGAGCTCCCCTCCCAGTAGTTTAAAATTATGGACGGCGACAGATAGCCTTAGTAGCTTTGCCATAAACTCCAAATAGAACATTTGAAATCACGATATATTCATCAGTTTGGAATAATACTAGTCGTTAATGAAGAGTTCAACAAGAAAGTAAAATGTTTAGAATTACATTAACCGAGTTTGTCCTGGTATATCTGTGTCGTGTATATATAATATATGCATTGTTTTGTAATTTCGGTAAAATCAACTATTCGCATAATAAACACGTTAACAAGACATAAGTAGTGTGTCGTGCTGCCAAAACAACCTGCAGGACACAGTTTGTGTTATTAACAGGAATGATAGTTCTGTATCTCGGACTGTGGTAATCCAAACTAACATATATTTTCAATGGTTGTGCTCTACTGGACTCTTACTTCACATACCAAATTTCAAGGCAATCCATTAAGAAATACCCGAGATATAACATCTCCAATTTTAATTGAGTTTCTTTATATTCTTTGCAAAAGGCGTGATATCTAATCTAAAACACCTTACTCGTAAAGAAAGGTGCAGCCAAAAAAAGGATTGAGTGTACGACTTAAAGGAATGAAATCAAAATTGGTATCTACACTTGTAGCATTGATAATAATTTTACAGCAAATATTCATTGGTTAGTTAGCTGAGCCGTGTATTTTGTTTTACTCAACATCATTCCCGAAGTTGAACAAAAACGCGGCTTGGCTAACTAATGAATGAATATTTACTGTAAAATGTTTACAAATCTCTAAGTGTAGCTACTAGTTTGGCATCCCCAGTGGCACAGCGGTAAGTCTGCGAACTTGCAACGCTAGAATTCAGATTTCGATACCCGTGGTTTGCAGAGCACAGATAGCCCTTTGTGTAGCTTCGTGCTTAATTACAAATAAGCAATAAATAAAACCAGTTTGGCCGCCAATTTTGATTTCATTCCTTTAAGTCGCACGCTCAATAAATTTTTGGCCACACCTTATTTTAACACCCAAGATGTTTTTTTTATTAGATCTATGTCATGTCATTGATAATTTAGATCACAAACATTTTTTTAACGAAAATCAAGAGAATCGGTTAAAAATCCACATCGGTATACACAAATATTTTGGTCAAGTTTGACCGGTTTTCGTTTAATAACTTAGCCTATGTTGCTTATATTTAAGCCAAACTTAAGACCTAACTTAGCCTATGTCGCTTATATTTAAGCCAAACTTAAGACCTAACTTAGCCTATGTCGCTTATATTTAAGCCAAACTTAAGACCTAACTTAGCCTATGTCGCTTATATTTAAACCAAACTTAAGACCTAACTTCGCCTATGTCGCTTATATTTAAACCAAACTTAAGACCTAACTTAGCCTATGTCGCTTATATTTAAACCAAACTTAAGACCTAACTTCGCCTATGTCGCTTATATTTAAACCAAACTTAAGACCTAACTTCGCCTATGTCGCTTATATTTAAACCAAACTTTTTACCAAACTT